GCCGCCACCTCTCTCTTGACCACCTGCGCAGGCACGGGCGCGGGCGCGGCCTCGGCCGACTCGGAGGAGAAGAGGCCGGGGGTCACGTCCCCGTGGACGGCGGTCAGCTGGTGGTGCTTGAAGCCGTGGGAGTGCGGCCCTTGCCCGGCGTGCTCGTGGTGGTGGACCACGGGGGGGCCGGCGGGGGGGCCGGCGGGGACGGCCTGGCTGTCGTTGGACACGATCAGGATCTCCGGGCCCTGCAGCAGCGCGGGAGGGAGGAAGAGAGAGAGAGAGCTTGATTCAGGAGCCCCAGGGCCAGAGACCCGCGCGCCAGCGCTCTCGAGACGGGACTAGAGCCCGTGCTTCTGCAGGTCACTGGGCCTCTCCTGGGCCGCGATCAGGCCGCCCTCGGGCAGCCAGAGGGTCTCCGCCCTCGGATTCGTTACGAGAAGAAAAGCTTTCTGTACGGGCCGGGCCCTGCAACCCGCCCAGACTGGAGAAAAATAGAACGGACCTCAACGCAGATCCCCCTGACGGTCCTTTTCCTAGCCTCCACGGGGGAACACTGTGTAGTTTTGGTTTCATTTCGAAGAAGGTATAAGTAAACACTAATACAATCTAATGCAGATATGGCTGGGCTTTAAAACAAAGGTCTAGAAATATTCTTTCAGTGCTTTCTTCCTGAGAATGTATGACAGGGGGTACATCTTGCTGATTAGTACATTTTATAGCAAGAGCACTTTTTTACCCAAAGGGTTGTTGGAGTATGGAACAAGCTGCCCAGTCGTGAGAATCGGCTGGGATCAAATAAATAGCAGCTACCAACTGGGCTAGATGTACCAAATGGATTCTCTTCGTGTATAACTTTTCTTCTGTTGTTATTCCAAATCCTGCTGTGTTGACCAATGGTCTGGCACCACCTAGTGTTCGACTAATGACACTACCGCTGGCGATTTTCACCGGTCTAACTTGACCGCAGAGGAGGTTTCGGAGTTGTTGTTTATGGGTTACATGCTTAGCGCAGCGCCTTCTCCCGCATTTTTAAAGACAGAAAGTACTGAAAGCTTACCGCAGCGCCAAAGATATCGCAGTCCACCGTTACGACGGGCTCCGAGGGAACTCCAGGAAGGACGCTACCGGTGCAGAAACCGTGACGCTGAAAAGAAAGGGGACAGTCAGAGCACTTTCCTAACAGGGGGGAACCGTTCTAGAGTTAAAATAAAATGTGCTTGTAAAGACAAACACGGGAGGACGTTCGACTGAGGTCCCGGGCTGTTCAATCAGTTTTAGACAAGGGAGGCGTCAGATTATAAACATTCAGGTGGGGGGCTGCGTCAGCATGCGTAGGCTGCAAAGGAACAAGTATAATAGGTTTATTCCCTGCTGAAAAAAAGAAGAGAAGATTCTCTTTATAAATATTGCCTGGGTGATAATTCTCTTAACGGTAAACCAGTGTAACTCGGGTGCTGGATGGACTGGAAAGGAACAGGTCGTCGGTATCACCTGTAGAAAGTACGTTATGAGTGAGTTCGCTTTTTTTTTCTTTCGCACAGATTTTCAGGATATCCATCTTGCCGTTGCTTCTCTTTCGCTTTAGCACTGACAATCCCTCATTTAGCGAGGAATTCACGATTTTTCGTGATGCAACAAACGGGAAAACGCCGTTTTCCAACAACCCCCCAAACCGTAACGCATCGAAAACTGCACGTTTTCACTTGCATTAGAAAATGCAAACTGAAACGAGAGTTTGCAAGGGCTTTTTTTTTTTTAAGGATATCTCAATTTTCCAACGAAAAAAATATCTCAATCCAAGCAGGGAGCTGCGTCAGTACGCGTAGGCTTGCAAAGGAACAAGTAAAGGTTTATTCTCTGCAGATACCGATATCTGAATAGTCTATTTTTGTCAGCGTGGAATAAACCTTTACCTGTGCCTTTGCAAAAACTTTTGAATGGTGCGTTGCCACTATTCGCAGTCACTATAACCGGTTTTGTGTCCGATTGTTTATCTTTTAAAAATGCGGCGGCTCTTTTTAGCCAAATTAAGCCACGTCCAAGCTCCTTCGCAAGGCGTGTCCACCCTCTGATCTGTCGGGGCTCCTGTTCCAGCCCAACGGCGACACCTAGCGGCGTGAAGCGCGTACGACCCGCCCCCGGCGCCGGTACTCACGGCCAGGCTCTCGCTGAGGGGGACGCAGACCGCCTGTGGGTCGGCCGCCTCGAGGTCGGTGCAGTTGGTCTCCACGATGGCGAACTCGGTGATGTACATTGCTCCTCCCCCCACCACCTGCACGGAAGAACCGGGGTCACTCAGTGCGGCTGCGAGCTTTCCGAGCGGTGCCCGCCCGGCGCCCGCCCCAGTGCCCGGCACGCTTGCCCGTTAGGAGGCGGGCCTACCCACCTGCGACGCCAGTCTCCCGACCTCCATCAGCTCGAAGTGAGCCGTCTCGTTGGGCCCAGCGTTGAACGTGGTCAGCGAGTTGGTGACGGCCTGCAGCGCCAGCGTGTCGTTCAGCGGCAGGAGGGAGGGGCAGCCGACACACAGTCGGGACACGTCTTCCGCCGAATCTGCGGCCGGGAGAGGCAGCGGCGTGAGCCGAGTCCGCGTTTCATTATCCGCTGGTGGAAGGGACTGCGCCGCCCAGCTGGGCAGAGCAGCCAGGGCACGCAGACTCATCACCAGCAAAGAAGACGGTGCAACAGTGTCGCAGGAGATGAGGGATGTTACTGCACCTCGCTGGGGAGCGTGTCTGCACTCACTGTGCGTCTGAGTCAGTTTCACACCATTCTTCTTAACCCAACCCAAGTACGCTGTGTTAATCGTCTTATCGATTAACGTCTTTCAAATATGTGTGGTGCACAGTCGGTATTGCTGAACTCAAAATCCCATTCTCAGTCTTTCTAAAAGCTCGGTGCTCTGAAACATCATATCATTTATTTTTCCGAAAATATTAAAAAAACATCAATTTAAGTATTAATAGCAGTAGTGGCGGCCGTAGTGATGTGACAAAGCATCGTCCGGAACTAGTTCATTCTGTAATCATTCACATCTTTAAAAAAATAATGAAACTGACCTGGTTTGCTTTTACATTTGTAAGCGGTCACAGTGAAGGCCCCATCAACTTTGGACAAGATCACATCACAGTCTCCCTCGACTTTCTAGAAGAAGAGAAAACACGTATCTCATCACGCTTTAGCTGTGGGCCAGAGGCCTGTTTTTAATCTTCGGGATGCTGTAACTTGCCCGGCCCAACCACTCTCCCCAGACACAGCCCTTCAATCGCTTGCTAATTGAAAGGTTCAGAGGTTCTGCAGATTTTGCACAGTGCCATCTCGATTACCGGCATGCCTGCTGGTTTTATTAAGGCAGGTTTAAAGGTTATAGTCATCACTGGGTTTAAAACGCTAAACGTCGTGGAATCGAAACAGCAGAACGGCGCGGTCTGTAAACACAGCGAGCCCGTGCGCGCTTTGACAGGGATCAGAAGAGGGCTGAAGATCACGCAGTGACGCCCACGCAGGAAAAGGAGCTCTTGTGAGACAGATTTGTCAGCCCCCAAGTCCAAGAGATAAGAGATGGGGAAAACGTTTTCGGGAGAACGATCTGATTCTGCATTGTCGAGCCCAGATGTTTAAGAAAGCCTCTCTGAACTCACTCTGACAGGCTCGTCCCTCGGCTACAGTAACACCTGACTCTCAGCCACTGACGCTGTACAGGCAGGACTCATCCTTCTAGAGCAGACCCAATCAGGTTAGTTAAACTTTCTTTTAAAAAATTGTGTATCTCCTGATATATTCTTTATTCAAACCTGTCATGTTCATGGGCCAGATATGCAGATTTGTATTTGCCATGAACCCCGAGGCTCCTCCAAAACGGATTTATCGTTCTAACTCTATTTTTAATAAATGTCAGAAGCCTTGTGAGGTTCCTAAACTGCAGACCCTTTCCGTCTGTTCCGATCCCAAACCTGTAACGCGCTGTTTCCGAACGGAAGATCCTCACCGTTTCAACGAGTGGCCTCACTGGACAGCCCTGAGCTGGAGTGGGGCTCACGACGTGGCACTTGGTCTCCAGCAGGTCCAGCTCCATGATGTAGGTCTCTCCAGCGGGCAGCTGGGGCGGAGGAGGAGGTAGGTTAGTCCCTGGACCCTGTTACCCACACAGGGACAGGCCATGCCCGTCCCCTTCCTCACATGCTCATTTGCTAACGACAGCCTCTCCGCCCATAACTCCTGTCCCGTCTACACTGCACTGGCTGCCTGTGAGATATGACTTCCACTGTGAGTCGATCATGAGGCCCTGCTGCAAGGCCTAGCTCCGTGCTTCCTTCAGCCTCGCCTGAGTATGGAGCGATCTACGATTCAGCCTAGTTCCAGAGCTGCGTCAGCGTGCGCAGGCTGCAGAGGAACAGGTTAAAGGTTTATTCCCCGGTGAAAAGAGAAGAGACACCTTTTGGCTGCGGAGCCTTCTTCAGGTGTGTGAAGGCTCCTCAGCCGAAGTGCTGTGTTTCTTCTTTTCTCTTTTCAGCGGGGAATAAACCTTTAACCTGTTCCTCTGCGGTACAACCTGGCCTCCCGTCTCAGAACGCAGCTTGCTGGTGCCCTTCTACTGAAGCATCCTGAGCACGACCCCCAGGCCCGTTCCCAACCGTGCCCCGCGCCAGGGTGCGCCAGGACACTCGCGCCTCGAGCAGGAGGAGCAGGGTCGCCACTCACCCTGGGCAGCACCCTGACTTCCTCAATCCTGTTCAGGGTGTGCTTGTATCCGTGGTGATGCTGCGCGTTGATGAAGTCGACGGCCGCCAGGGCGGCCGCCTCGGCCTCCGCGGAGTCGCAGGGCGGGAAGCGGGCGCCCTGCAGGGTGGCGGCGGGCGGTAGGCCCGCGGCCCAGGCCGCGGCCAGCAGGGACAGGAAGGCCAGGGCGCCGGCGGTTTCCATGGCAGCGGCTGGGGCTCACGAGAGAGGCAGGCAGGAGCGGAGAGGGAGCGGGCTCCGAGTGGGACAGAGCGTGGCTCGCCGCCCGCCGTTTATACCGCGCCTGCCCGCCCGCCCGCCCGCCTGCCCGCCCTCCTGCCCGCTCTGACGCAAGCGCCGCGGCCCTGAACCCCCGGAGGTCTTGCGCAAGAGAACGGCGGGGCGCGCCTGCCAATGTCAACACAGGTCCGCGGAGACGGGACGGCTCCCAGAAAAAACAAACACATTTCCAGGAGCAGCTCGCATCGACCCTGGGGGCGCTAGGCAGGAAGCGGAGGAGGGAGACCATGTGGACCCCCGGCTCTACAACACCCCCAGCGGCCTGTGCGCCCGCACTGCAAACACAGCGCCCCCCTCTGACCAGAGGAAACCCCTCGGCAGATCTCTGCCACACATCGTGACTCCGTCCGTCCTACAGGAAGTCCTCAGCACCAACAGGAAACACAGGCAGGACACGCTGGGCGCCCTGCCACTGCTGCGGGGGGCTGTCTGTGACGTGGCCGAGCTGGGGAAGCGGAGATGGATCAGCTAGGAGGATTTGTCCAGCTGCACGGCGCTGGCTTGGACATCTGTCTGTGTGGAGTCTGCACGGTGGCGTCCGTTCACTACGGGCCGGGTGGGGTCTGGTGGTGCAATGAGGAGCGACGTGGAACGTCTGGGAGCCGTGGCCGAGACAGCGGAGAGAACGGAGACGAGGGATTAGGGGGCCGCGGTTGGCAGGGGGGTGATTCCCGGGAGGGGCGGCTGTGGCGCCGGTCTCCGGCCACGTCTGCGCTGGGTAACCGTGCCGCTAGCCGCCGGGTGTTTTAATGAGAGGCGTGATGTTTTACAACCCAAGAAATGAAGATCACATACCCTGGAGTTTTCCAGTTCAGACCCATTTATTTGATTTATTTCAAGCGTTTAATGGTACACATCTGCAAGACGACGTCATTCCAGGTGGGAATGCAGCGGGACACTGCGGAGGAGCCCGTCGCGGTCCGAGCCGACTGGGCCGGGGGCTCTACAGCACCTCGTGTCTCGGGGCGCCGGGGCAGGCGGGGGAGGGGGAGTCGGGGAACGCGGTCAGGAACACGGGCAGGGGGGCCGGCCCAGGCGTCGCGGCGTTCCGGCGTTTCAGCCGCCGCGGGGCCCCGGGCCACTTGAACTTCCCAGGCGGCATGACCCCGCGTTCCTCGGAGGACTCCGATTCGGAGGAGAGGCGGAACCGCCTGGGCTCCGGGGCGGCAGGGAGTTTGGGGTACGGGTAGGCGGGCGGCGTGGGCTTGGGTCTCCTGCGCGGGCCCTCCCGGGGCGGCGGGGCAGGCGTCACTTGCGCGCCCTGCGGCTCCCTGTTGGCGTCCGAGCCAGCTGGAACGGTCCCTGGTGCCTGATCCACAGTCGCGGCCCCCTGGAACAGAGCAGAGCGGGAATTTCACTGGCCTCGAGTTTAATTAGAGACCCTGCAGCGATTGCCAAAGCCCTGGCCTGGCGGAGCTTTTGGCCTGTTAGGGTAAATCACTCGCCAAAAGCAATATTGAGTCCTCTTTCACCAAGGCAGGTCGCTGTGCCTTTGCCTACGTTTCTCTGTTTCACTCTGTGTGGGGCCATCCCTGCAAGAGACTTTGGAATCTGCTGTATTTTTTTTTATAATTTTGCTGCAGAAGGATGAACAAAACAAGCTCGCAGTACCGTAACGTAGATCTCGCAGGAGACTTCCACTGTCGGCTCACCGATTCCTCGGGGGAAAACAGCAGCGACACAGAAACCGGCCTGTTGGAGCACAAAAGCCGTGTGCTTTAGGGATTCTTACCTGCGACATTTTTTGGAAGGTTTAGGAGTTCATTGCTTTACACCAGGTATGAATTAAAGGAGAAAAGTATTCCTGATGACTTCTAAAGAGCACTGTTTTTTAGTCATTACACAGAAAGAAATGCTTCATTATTTCAGCAAGGTAAGATTACTGTAACATCTTACTTTCTAGGGTGTCTGTTAAGGTGCTAAGTAGGCTACGTATGTCCACAGGTTTGCAGCTCATTTGCTAACAGCAACATCTCTGCCTTAGCACATCACTATAACTCCTGTCCTGTGTACACTGCGCTGGCTGCCTGTGAAATATTACTTTAATTCATATAAGTTAATCATAAGGTCCTCCTACTGTAAGACATTGACCAGTCTCACTCCATGTTTCCCTCAGCCTTGCCTGAGTATAATCCAAGTTGCAATCAGGTCTCTGCTGACACTAAGGCTAAACACAGGGGGTGAGTCTTCTCATGAGCAGCACCACAAATCCATTAGAGACTCTGTGACTGTGAATACTTTCAAATCTTTTACTATTACGTCTAATGCAGAGTTTCTGGTTGTTGTTTTTTTTACCCAGTTCAGCTACTGTGGGATCTGTTGTGTGTAAGTGTGTATCTATGTGCACAGCGCTTTGAGGTTTTGAAAAGGGCTTCTAAATGAAACATTATTATTCATAATTAGTAATCCTTGGGTAAACAAGCAAAAGAAAACTGAGTTGTTCAAGAACTCATCTTCTGATGATCAGTGCTTACAGCTGTATCGGAGGCTTTGGGAATGCAGGGATGACCGTCAGTATCTCCGTGTTGCTTGGAGCAGCCCGTGTCTTGAATCGTATACTCAACAAAGCTGACATGCTCGGGGTTTGTCTGTGACATACAGAACAGTAGGCACATGTATTAAGGAGTTTACTTCATTGAAGAAAAGATTTCTACATCATAAAGATCCTAGTGCACACCCCTCCCAATTAAGTCTCTGTTATTACTTCTGCCCCGGTTTCCTTGATTAATGTCACGTCCTGCATTATTCCTTGTCCTGAAGCTGAAGTTTGAAAGGGTTACTTCCACACCGACTGAACTTCGACTCCAAGTCCAATAACAACTCCGGTCCCGTGTTAGGAGCAATGTTTGGAGAGAGGACCCTCTTGCAGGACTGAAAGTCGTTCGAAGCCCCAGCTCGAAAACGTAAGTAAACAAATGACGCTGGCACCCGAAAACGAAAAGGCTACGCTGAAAGCACAGGTTCTGATACACGACACTATGAACGCCCGGAAACAAACTGAGGGGTGCTCGTCTTTGTACAGGGTGCCACTCCCGCGAAGTAGCCTGCTTCTAAAAGAAAAACTTTTTTTTTTCTCTTTTCCGACGTAAGAAGACGGGGGTTATTTAGCCGAATGCGCTGTCGGAATGTTGGAGCCGCGGCGGCCACCTGAGAAGACGCCCGGGTGACGTTGAGCACCGAGAAGGCGGCAGGAGCGGCTCTGGCTGTGTTGTACTGGTCCAGGGAGACCTGCGCAGCCTGGAGCGCCTCAGGACTGTCCACCGGCAGCAGCAGGGGGCAGTGGGGGCAAATGCTCTGGACTTTCTCCGGCTGATCTGCAGGGCAAAAGAAAAGGAAAAGAAATCGTTCACAACCGGAACCTGCTTGAGCGAATGAATGCATATAAAACCAAGCGCTTTGAAGTAATGCTGCCACTTCTAAATAAACTGGGAGTCCTATAGTACTTCACTGCTCACTTTCAATGGCCACTTTGTACTGTGTAGTCAGTTATACAGCTCATCTGGCAGGGAAGACCTACCTGGTATAAAGCTCAGATCCCCAAAACAAGGTGCGCTGTGTCTGATTAGTGTGTTCAGGTACTGTTAAAAGGACACGATAATGTCTAATAATAGCAGATATAGAATTTAAGTTTTGCGCAGGTCTTTTGCTGGGATGTTGAGAACTGGTATTTAAACATGTACCTTTCCAACAGAATCTTTTTGGCATACATATTTTTTTGCAGGCTACACTGCATATTAACATATTTGTCCATTCAATCATTTTCACTGTGGACTCTTGATCAAAAAGCTAGTAGATTGTTTGAAAATCAGTTTTGCTTTTTGCATATTTTATAAAAAGCAGAAAAACAGACTATAAACTATAAATAATCAAAATTATTCTGTTCTGCAGTTTTAGTACATTCTACTGTTAAAACATCCTTATCCGTCACTGCAAGGCCTCGGAAGAAGCTCAGTGGGTTGTCACAGTGACAGCACTTCAGTACCACCCTGGTGATTCTGCCTTACATATTTACAGTCTGTAAGGTTTTTAAAATGTGAGAGAGAAGATAGATTTTGAGACCCACATCCCCTGAAATGTGCCATACACGTGTACTGTGTGAAGAATGGGGAAGCACGCAAAGTGTTTCACTGAAGTTTATGAAAGATGCACTGTTCAGCACAGTCGAATTGCTGGCCAACAGTGACCACAGGTGTTAGAGAGGACTGCTCAATACTGCCTTGGAAAAGCCATCAGAATGGGTCATCTTCTGAAATAACTTTGAGTTATTCTTCAAAGGAGAAGCCTGCACAATGGACCTATCACAGGTGGACACAGGGGGCACTTAAAATAAAATACTGCTCCTGTTATTGAACTATTTCTGAACCTCATCTTTTTTCCCAATAGTTCTAAATAGTAAATACCTGATAATTAATCAATTCATTATGTTTCTGACATCAGACTTCATCTCAGGACAAGGACTGCAGCACCAAGATTAGTGGCACTGCCTGGCTTCACTGTCCAGTTCAGTTTTGTGTGCGAACAGCAGAGCTGGTCGGATTCTGTCAAAGGCAAAAACCTCGCTCTTCTCAATTCAGGCCATTTCGCTAACTTTTAAGCCATGACTTACAGTAGTTCTTACATTACTCAATTGGCCGTCAAGTAGTTGTGCCTGCTTTTGAAAGTCACCTAAAAAATGTAGACGATGAGTCAGATGGATGAGACTCAATATCATCTCCATCTCTAACACGTTCTCTGTAGGGAGGGATTATAAGATTGTCTTCCAAGACAAAGACACAAAGTACCTGGAATCAGATTGCAGTCATAGCTGTACAGGTAGGTGGGTCCTTGAGGTGTACTGAGAAGAACGGTCTTGCAGTTCCCAGAGCTTTTCTAAAGAAGCAGAACACAGCATATTTAGTATGAATCATCTTCACTTTCCTTTTGTCTGGAAGCGCTGGCCTTAGTGACCTGGCCTTCCACGTCCTCATCAGAGACACAGAAGACTGCTAATTCAGACTGCACTGCCATTGTGTGTCATCTCTACTCATCCCATTGCCATAGAAAGTGTCTCATATTTTGTCTCTTTCTAGGTAGGTCCCTTTTCAGGCCATCCAGGCCCAGGGGGAATGGGGGGCAATTTTTTCCCTGAAAGAGTTCAAACAAGCTCTACAGCAGTCACAGGTAGCTCACGGCACTCCTGACACTTGCTGTGTTTTACCGAAGGACGTGAAATCATGGAAGTCAGTGAAAGCTGCCAGAAACTCTCGCCACAAGCCCCACTGCCTGCTGGGTTGGACCACACAACGGCTCGCAGCTGTCCTGCTGTCTTGCACGTTTGTGCGTTGCTTGTCACAGGAAGCTTACTGCTTAATTGTGCCAGAACAGCCCGCCATTCAAATCTGCGGCTAATGAGTGTAATGTGCCTCCTGGAAGAACTAATCTGAGAAAGTCTGGGGAAAACCCATATTGTGAGGGAAACGAGAAAATGTAGAGGAAATTGGATAAGCAGATATTATCTTTAATTACTGCCGATTCAGTGTTATATTCAGTAGAAGATATACCGAGAGGCATTGAAAATACAATAAAAGTTATTAGTTCCAGATTTCAGGGCTCTTGGTATGTTTGGTGCAGCATGGAGTGGGACTGAGTGCTGCTGCCTCACAGCTCTGGGGTCCTTGCCCTGTTCCAGAATGGGACACCTTCTGTGTGCAGAACATGTTTTGCATGTTCTTTTCTCCCCCTGTGGGTTTTCTCTGGATGCTCTGGCTTGCTCACACCTTAAGACAGACACATGTATTAGTTCAGCCTGTGTCTCTAAATCGCCCCCTGTTTGTTTGTAGCCTGGATGTACTTCTGCTTTGTGTCCCATGTCTCCTGGTACGGTTCTGGGGTTCCGTCATCCCTACATATAATAAATGGATTTTTAAATATTTAAAATGTTACTGTGAGATGTTACTTTCTCTGTAAAAATGGCGCCTTTGAGGTTCCAGTATTAGGAAAAATGTTCTCTGTTCTGTAGTGGTGGGTCTTATGTGTCACAGAGCCCTGCCTTAAGCAGATGAGTAAGCAGGATATTTGATCACTGGAATGTGTGCTTCAGAGCACATACATTTCACACATACTTTTGCAAGGAAGACCGTGCCTCTGTATTCTTCACGGCTGATCACCAGGTAGCCTGGCCTGTTTTTTCAGTGTCCAGCGGGGTGTGGATTGCCTGTGCTTTAATATTCCTCACCCGAGAGCCTGTCAGCTTTGGAGCACTCCAGCACAATGTGCTCCTTTGTAAAGTGTTCTAACACCAATTGGGAAGGAGGGCATGAGGGCTGAGCAAGGGCACCTCTGAGGAATGAATCAGGCTGCACTAAAGTGAGTCACCCCTGGAGAACAGCAGCAGTCCCACCTCGCCGGCCACACGTCTGCTTGAACCCTCTGCCTTACTGTTTCTGCAAACGGCCTGATCTCGCAGTCCTCCCAGGCTCTGGGGCTCTTCACATAGCACTTGGTCTCCAGCACATCCAGGTCCAGGTAGAAGACCGTTCCGGCGGGGCCCTGCGAATCACACACATCAGCCTCCGTGAGGGAACACAGTAGCACGGATCTGCTTTTACGAAAGAAAAAAAAACAGTTTGCAGAAACACATGGCTCTCCCGCAGTTGTGTGCTCGGCCACATGTTGCAAGCTTCTGTAACCTCTGTTTCTGGATTTCTGCGTTTTTTTTTTTTGGCTCGGGAACATCTGCTTCCTGTTTCTCTTGCTCTCAAGATAAAAAGAACCCAGAGAAAATGAGGGGGTCGTGGAGGTCAGGAGGTAAAGCACAGCTGTCAAACATCACGAGCCCAGGCTGAAGTGGCAGATCATTCCCCTGCAGTCGCAAACATGTCAAGGCCAGCCAGAGACCACTCTGGGGTCCACCATTCCCTTCGGCTTATTCATTTCCTCCCCAGAACTCCTGCAGTCTGTCTTCTGTATTAGTGGAGATGCCTCTCCTGCTGCAGCAGCTTTGATGAAGACTGCGCTTATTGGAAAAGACTCCTGCACCCAGGCCCTGATGTATCTTAATCATAACTCTTTGCAATATGTGCTTAAACAGTCCAGTGCCTGTGATGCCTTTTGGAATGTATTCTACCACATATGCATGCGCTATGAACTGTATATTATTAGATAGTATATACTGTAAGAGCATAGCTGGCTCCGATAGGAGAGTAGCCCTGACTGAACCAGCTGTGCTCTCACAATACATTGGATATTAGAACACAAGACAGGTTACAGAAAAGAGGAGGACATTCAGCTCATCCAGCTTGTTTGATAGTAGCTAATTGTCACAAGGAGCTCATCCAGCAGTTTCTTGAAAGAAGCCAGGGTATCGGCTTCAACCACATGGCTGGGGAGTTTGTTCCACACTCCTACAGCCCTTCATGGGAGTTAAATAGCTGCTCCCTGGTCCCGGCATTAATTATTTTATATTATCGAAATATAGAGCAAGAGAGAGTTTATAACTTATTTTATATCAGCCTAAAAAAAGTCTAAAAAAAGTTCCAGCCTCATTCGTGCTCCCCAGATCAGCAAGGACAGACCCTGCCACACAGCACAGGGACACTGGGCAGTTCTGCACATTTAAATACGGCAGAGCTCTGCAGCTGGGTTCCAAGTTTAGTATGCACTGGAAATATTTTTTTTTTTAATGGAAGAGGGGCTTGTGATGCACTGGACAGCAGTTGTGTTTTTTAGGGACAGGGGTGTGCTTTTGGAGTCATGAGAGTCTAATGAAGGCTTGGTTTTCCTCTGCAGTCAACATTTCTTTATGCTTTCCATGCCCTGAATTTACAAGTACTGAAATTGAAATAAATAAAAACAAACGTGTCCCAGTCTAAAAACAAAGGAACAAATCACATATTGAGATAGAACACAGCATAGTGCACTGCAAACCTTAAATAGTTTTGTCTACAAATGTAAGCATCTTTGTGGTGCTAATGTGTACAGGTTTAATCATTTACTATTTAGCAATATGAATATAGTGTAAATAAAATTGCACTGTAATGCAAACTGATGAGCATTTTGCAGATTCAATTATAACAACACTAGCAGACCTTGTGTCATTGTAAAAGGGTCTCTGCTGAACCTTAGCAATTGGTTACAACCACAAAAGAAGGCAGATTCTTGGGCAATTAGAAAAACATCATGCAACTGGAACTTTGTCAGGACAAATAGGAAACCCAGCCAGCACTGAAGTCAGTAAACACAGGATTTTTTTTTTGTTGTTTTAAAAGGAAATCGGTCTTCTCTGTAACTGATCTGCTGTGTTATCAGGTTCCTTCCTTCCTCAGGTGCTGAAAAAGACAGTTTCATGCCAACAGAGTCTTAAGTTGGTCTGGTTAAACCTTCCCCAGCAAATTCAGTGTTTATATTTTGGTTTTCAAATCAGGGGGTTAATTAATTCAGATGGACTGCCCCAATATCTATTGCACAACATCTTTAAAAGGTTTTCTTCCTCTGTGGAACTGAATGTGTTGCCTTTTATAATTGCCCCAAACACAAAATGCAGAACGCATTTTTCAAAAATCAATAACAGTAATAGCTCTGCTCTGTAGCTTTTCACTTGGCTGGTGTGCTTGATGTCCCCGGACACCTACTGACAAAACCCCTCAGTATTAACTACCTTCCAATTTCCCAACCCACACTTCTGCAAATGCCTTTTCTTTCCCCATCAAGCTGCGCTGAAGGACCAGATGAGCTAACGCTGCCGTTTGTTTCCTCCGCCGAAGCCCGTCTACCGACCTGCTCGTGCAGATGGACGTTATTGACTCTGTTCAGGCTGAACTTGTAGCCTTCTGTCCGGTCCTCGTTGATGTAGGAGAGGGCCAGCTGAGCCCTGTGCGCCACGGTCCTGTCGCTGCAGGGAGCAGGGAAGATGTCCACCGGGTGGCCCCAGGATGCCGCCAGCTGGGCGCTCAAAAGAAGAAGAAACGGGAGATTCCTCATCTCAGGTTTATTTCTTTATAACTTGTCTTCTTCTACTACTTCTTCTCCTACAGTGGTCCCTGTTGCTATTCTTTTTAAAAAAAGACGTTTAAAAAAGTTTGCGGGTCATACGAGGTTGTTCAAACACTCGGAGATAAGCACTTTTTTTTTTTGCTGATGCAAAATGTCAAACTTCTGTGTACTTTTGCTCTGGAAATCGGAATTAAAAGACAAATAAAAGGTGAATGATTTCTAAGTGGTGGCGGGGAATGATGGAGATGATAAAATAGGATGTTATGTAAAGTCGGGGAGCTCAGAAACCGGAACAGGAAACTTCTCTTCACCTTCATGTGCTTCGCATTCGGTATCCTTGTGAGTCTCCGTCTGCTTCTGAAAGTTTCTCACTCACTGCTCTGAACCAGGGGCCAGTCTGGGTCCTGCAGGGCCGGTGTGACTGCTGGGTTTTATTCAGGTCAGCATTTATTACTGGAGAATTCTCTCCTCTTGATTGCCCCGGTCAACATTGTCATTCTTTGAGGGACACTGTGTCTCGATGTTAAGACCGAATCGTTTAGTTTGTTTCTGATTGAGGTCCTTCAAAGACATTAAAAGTGGTTCAAAGCCTCTGCTTCCCCTCATATCCCCATCTCCCAGAAAACAACAGCTCAGAACCTTCAGAACTGCCAGATCGACAGATTTTTAATCCTGAATAAGCGAGAGAGGGAAAAAAAAACCCCAAGCCCATAAAGACAAATAAGATCAAAGTCCTCCCAAGTGACTTATGAAAGAGCACACTTTCAAAAAGACTGGTTCACGGACGGACTTCGAGGTTAGAGCTAACTGTGCACTAGGTGACAAACACGAGGCAGGTTAGGCTTTAACTTCACCTCAGGCACCTGTCAGACGTGTCAGGGGTGATCACGCGGGGTCGCGATGAGACCGGACACAGCCTGTACTGGACGGACTGGACCGGCCTGTACTGGACACCAGGCCGCCGCGGGGCACGCGGTTTCTCCTCCTGCTCATGTCCGCGCCGCAGACTGTGGGAGAGCCACGGGTTTCAGTTCTGGATTATTTGTGAAGGTGATATTTACAGTCAGAGGTTTTTTTCCCCACTCAAAACGGATCCCGTTTGCAAAGCCCCCCATTTGTTCATGCGATGAGCATGATCATATCTAAGCAGGGAGCGGCGTCGGCGTGGGTAGGCTGCGTAGACACGGGTAAAGGTGTATTCCCTGCTAAAAAAGAGAATAAAGAAACACAACGTTTCGGCTGTGGAGCCTTCTCCAGTTGCGGAGAAGAAGGCTCCGCACCCGAAGAACACTCCACGGCCGAAACGTCGCGTTTCTTTTCTTCTCTTTTCACTTCGATCATTTCTAGCGCGTTCCTCGCATCTGTTTTTCTTCCCTGCGCTGACTGGCATCTCTACACGTTTTATAAAAAAAAAAAAGTGCGGCGGATTAAGAGAAAATTATGAAGAAAAAAAGGTTTGAAGATATATACCAATTATTCTACAGAGAGAAATGGTATTATGGAAGATCATTCTTTCTTTTCCCCTTTAGCACAGAACCGTTTGCAATGCTGTAGTAAGTCATATTGTCCAAGAGAGGGGGTCCTCGGACAATGTGACGTGCTCAATATGTTTACAGTTTATGTAAATATTTTATAAGATGTCTTTGTTGTAAATGTCTGTAATATGTCTGTAGATTTTTTTTCTCGTTTTTTTTTACTTTAATTTTTTGTTTTGTTTCATGTGAATTTCATTATTTTTATTTTCTTTGGCAACGCCGATTGTACCCATCGGTCATGCTAATAAAGCACCTTGAATTCAATTGAATTGAGTCCTACAGTAGGTCTTTTTACTGTTCAAATAAGCTGATTGTCTGTTTGTTCGGGGTTAAAACTAAATATGAGACGGCTGAGGCGAGTTTTCCAATAGCAAAGCTATATAATATATATTAATATATATATATGATATATAATCATTCCTGCAAAACTGAGATTCGCACCAGAAGAGTCCGACCCGTCTTCTCTCTGTCTGCCTTGGATGTTTGTTTGCTTTGATTTTGTACCACTGGTGGTCATCTTCCTGACGCAGGCGCGGCTCTGCAGGAGTGCCAACCTGCTGTCTGGCACTGTTGGTGAGAGCAGTGTAAAACCCACCCAGCGCTTGCACAGTCGGATCTCCATTCAACTGGTCAAGCCACGTCGCCTGACCTGCTGTACTGTGGGGGGCTGCTCTTCAGCGGCTGATGAATGAAACGGGTCCCCCCACCGTATGTAAAGCGCTTTGAGATCTTTTGGGGGTGAAAATGGCGCTGTGGAAATGTGATTCAATTTTCAATTTGTTATTACGTGTTCAGCGTTGGAGTAAAGCGAGCAGAGAGGTTCCTATTACAATATGTTCTTGAAGGGGCGATTTTTGCTCAATAGCAAGTTGTTGTTTTTTTTTTCCGTGTGGCATTCCTCCGAAGGTAATCTTAACTCTCGCGGAACAGCTGCCCAGTCGCACTGTCAAAGCGCTGCGTGTCCAGTATTAGACGCTGGTTTCGGTTACACGATTTGTGGTTACAGTTGGTGAAACATTTGGAAACATATTTATGAAGAATCTGCGTTCCATGACACAAGATACCGTAACAAAGCAGAACGGCCTCTTGTCTCTCGCAGTCAGAGCCGAGCCCCCCGTCGGTCTGGAGAGCGCTGCGAGACTCTCCAGTTCCCAAGTCCCTCTGAAATACCATCGTTTCGGCCTTCTTTTGTCAATAAAACTACGGAAAACACACCCAGAAGATTTTGGGAACTCAGAGAAGGCCGAGTCGAGATGTCCTTGACTCAGATGTTGGAGGTTTTCAGTGTCCCATGTGCCATAAAGCATTTTGTGATCAGACGTCCCA